GAGTGATTGAGGGTGGGTGGCTGAGTGAGTGAGTGAGTGAGTGAGTGAGTGAGTGAGTGAGTGAGTGAGTGAGTGATTGAGGGTGGGTGAGTGAGTGAGTGAGGGTGGGTGAGTGAGTGAGTGAGTGAGTGAGGGTGGGTGGGTGAGGGATTGCGTGATTGAGGGTGGGTGGGTGACTGAGGGTGGGTGGGTGACTGAGGGTGGGTAAGTGAGTGAGTGACTGAGGGTGAGTGAGTGACTGAGGGTGGGTGAGTGAGTGAGTGAGTGAGTGAGTGAGTGAGTGAGTGAGTGAGTGAGTGAGTGAGTGACTGAGGGAGGGAGGGTGGGTGGGTGGGTGAGTGACTGACTGAGGGAGGGAGGGTGGGTGGGTGAGTGAGTGAGTGAGGGTGGGTGGGTGAGTGAGAGTGATTGAGGGTGGGTGGCTGAGTGAGTAAGTGAGTGAGGGTGGGTGAGTGAGGGATTGAGTGATTGAGGGTGGGTGGGTGAGTGAGTGAGTGAGTGATTGAGGGTGGGTGAGTGAGTGAGTGAGGGTGGGTGGGTGAGGGATTGAGGGTGAGTGAGTGAGTGAGTGAGTGAGTGAGTGAGTGATTGAGGGTGAGTGGGTGAGTGAGTGAGTGAGTGAGTGAATGAGTGATTGAGGGTGAGTGAGTGAGTGAGTGAGTGAGTGAGTGAGTGAGTGAGTGAGTGACTGAGGGAGGGAGGGTGGGTGGGTGGGTGAGTGACTGACTGAGGGAGGGAGGGTGGGTGGGTGAGTGAGTGAGTGAGGGTGGGTGGGTGAGTGAGAGTGATTGAGGGTGGGTGGCTGAGTGAGTAAGTGAGTGAGGGTGGGTGAGTGAGGGATTGAGTGATTGAGGGTGGGTGGGTGAGTGAGTGAGTGAGTGATTGAGGGTGGGTGAGTGAGTGAGTGAGGGTGGGTGGGTGAGGGATTGAGGGTGAGTGAGTGAGTGAGTGAGTGAGTGAGTGATTGAGGGTGAGTGGGTGAGTGAGTGAGTGAGTGAGTGAATGAGTGATTGAGGGTGAGTGAGTGAGTGAGTGAGTGAGTGATTGAGGGTGAGTGAGTGAGTGAGGGTGGGTGGGTGATCGAGTGAGTGAGTGAGGGTCAGAGGGTGGGTGGGTGAGTGAGTGAGTGAGGGTCAGAGGGTGAGTGAGTGAGTGAGTGAGTGAGTGAGTGAGTGAGTGAGTGAGTGAGTGAGTGAGTGAGTGAGTGAGTGAGTGATTGATTGAGGGTGGGTGAGTGAGCGATTGATTGAGGGTGAGTGACTGAGTGACCGAGGGTGAGTAAGTGAGTGAATGACTGAGGGTGGGTGAGTGGGTGAGTGAGTGAGTGAGTGAGTGAGTGACTGAGGGTGGGTGAGTGGGTGAGTGAGTGAGTGACTGACTGAGTGACTGAGGTTTGAGTGACTGAGGGTGGGTGGGCGGGTGAGTGAGTGAGTGAGTGAGTGACTGAGGGTGGGTGGGTGAGTGAGTGAATGAGGCTGGTTGGTTGGGTGGGTGATTGAGTGGGTGGGTGGTTGGGTGAGTGAGTGAGTGAGTGAGTGAGTGAGTGAGTGAGTGAGTGAGTGACTGACTGAGGGTGGGTGGGTGGGTGGGTTAGTGAGTGACTGAGGGTGTTGAGTGAGTGACGGACTGAGGGTGTTGAGTGAGTGAGTGACTGAGGGTGGGTGAGTGACTGAGGGTGGGTGGGTGAGTGACTGAGAGTGAGTGAGTGAGGGTGGGTGAGTGAGTGAGTGAGTGAGTGAGTGAGTGAGTGAGTGAGTGAGTGAGTGAGTGAGTGAGTGAGTGAGTGAGTGAGTGAGTGAGTGAGTGAGTGGGAGTGGGTGGGTGAGTGAGTGACTGAGGGTGAGTGAGTGAGTGAGTGAGTGAGTGAGTGAGTGAGTGAGTGACTGGGAGTGGGTGGGTGAGTGAGTGAGTGAGGGTCAGAGGGTGGGTGGGTGAGTGAGTGAGTGAGTGAGGGTCAGAGGGTGGGTGAGTGAGTGAGTGAGTGAGTGAGTGAGTGAGTGAGTGAGTGAGTGAGTGAGTGAGTGAGTGATTGATTGAGGGTGGGTGGGTGGGTGGGTGAGTGAGTGATTGATTGAGGGTGGGTGGGTGAGTGAGTGATTGATTGAGGGTGAGTGACTGAGTGACCGAGGGTGAGTAAGTGAGTGAATGACTGAGGGTGGGTGAGTGGGTGAGTGAATGAGTGAGTGACTGAGGGTGGGTGAGTGAGTGAGTGACTGACTGAGTGACTGAGGTTTGAGTGACTGAGGGTGGGTGGGCAGGTGAGTGAGTGAGTGAGTGACTGAGGGTGGGTGGGTGAGTGAGTGACTGAGGCTGGTTGGTTGGGTGGGTGGGTTAGTGAGTGACTGAGGGTGTTGAGTGAGTTACGGACTGAGGGTGTTGAGTGAGTGAGTGACTGACGGTGGGTGAGTGACTGAGGGTGGGTGAGTGACTGAGGGTGGGTGGGTGAGTGACTGAGAGTGAGTGAGTGAGTGAGTGAGGGTGGGTGAGTGACTGAGAGTGAGTGAGTGAGTGAGTGAGTGAGTGAGTGAGTGAGGGTGAGTGAGTGAGTGAGTGAGTGAGTGAGTGAGTGAGGGTGAGTGAGTGAGTGAGTGAGTGACTGGGAGTGGGTGGGTGAGTGAGTGAGTGACTGAGGGTGGGTGGGTGAGTGAGTGAGTGAGTGAGTGAGTGAGTGAGTGAGTGAGTGAGTGAGTGAGTGAGTGAGTGAGTGAGTGAGTGAGTGACTGGGAGTGGGTGGGTGAGTGAGTGAGTGAGGGTGGGTGAGTGACTGACTGAGGGTGGGTGGGTGAGTGACTGACTGAGGGTGGGTGGGTGAGTGACGAGGGTGGGTGGGTGGGTGAGTGAGTGACGTGGGTGAGTGAGTGACGAGGGTGGGTGGGTGGGTGAGTTAGTGACGAGGGTGGGTGGGTGAGTTAGTGACGAGGGTGAGTGACTGATGGTGGGTGGGTGACTGAGTGACTGAGGGTGAATGAGTGAGTGAGTGAGTGAGTGAGTGAGTGAGTGAGTGAGTGAGTGAGTGAGTGAGTGAGTGAGTGAGTGAGTGAGTGAGTGAGTGACTGGGAGTGGGTGGGTGAGTGAGTGAGTGACTGAGGGTGGGTGAGTGAGTGAGTGAGTGAGTGAGTGAGTGAGTGAGTGAGTGAGTGAGTGAGTGAGTGAGTGAGTGAGTGAGTGACTGGGAGTGGGTGGGTGAGTGAGTGAGTGAGGGTCAGAGGGTGGGTGGGTGAGTGAGTGAATGAGTGAGTGAGTGAGTGAGTGAGGGTCAGAGGGTGAGTGAGTGAGTGAGTAAGTGAGTGAGTGAGTGAGTGAGTGATTGATTGAGGGTGGGTGGGTGGGTGAGTGAGTGAGTGACTGAGGGTGGGTGGGTGAGTGAGTGACTGAGGCTGGTTGGTTGGGTGGGTGATTGAGTGAGTGACTGAGGGTGGGTGGGTGGTTGGGTGGGTGAGTGAGTGACTGACTGACTGACTGAGGGTGGGTGGGTGGGTTAGTGAGTGACTGAGGGTGTTGAGTGAGTGACGGACTGAGGGTGTTGAGTGAGTGAGTGACTGAGGGTGGGTGAGTGACTGAGGGTGGGTGAGTGACTGAGGGTGGGTGGGTGAGTGACTGAGAGTGAGTGAGTGAGTGAGTGAGTGAGTGAGGGTGGGTGAGTGAGTGAGTGAGTGAGTGAGTGAGTGAGTGAGTGAGTGAGTGAGTGAGTGAGTGAGTGAGTGAGTGAGTGAGGGTGAGTGAGTGAGTGAGTGAGTGAGTGAGTGAGTGAGTGAGTGAGTGAGTGAGTGAGTGAGTGACTGGGAGTGGGTGGGTGAGTGAGTGAGTGACTGAGGGTGGGTGGGTGAGTGAGTGAGTGAGTGAGTGAGTGAGTGAGTGAGTGAGGGTCAGAGAGTGAGTGAGTGAGTGAGTGAGTGAGTGAGTGAGTGAGTGAGGGTGGGTGAGTGACTGACTGAGGGTGGGTGGGTGGGTGAGTGACTGCTTGAGGGTGGGTGGGTGAGTGACGAGGGTGGGTGGGTGGGTGAGTGAGTGACGTGGGTGAGTGAGTGACGAGGGTGGGTGGGTGAGTTAGTGACGAGGGTGGGTGGGTGAGTTAGTGACGAGGGTGAGTGACTGATGGTGGGTGGGTGGGTGGGTGACTGAGGGTGAATGACTGAGGGAGGGTGAATGACTGAGGGAGGGTGAATGACTGAGGGTTAATGACTGAGGGAGGGTGAATGACTGAGGGAGGGTGAATGACTGAGGGTGGGTGTGAGGGTGAATGACTGAGGGTGAATGACTGAGGGTGAATGACTGAGGGTGGGTGGGTGAGTGACTGAGGGTTAATGACTCAGGGTGAATGACTGAGGGTGAATGACTGAGGGTGAATGACTGAGGGTGAATGACTGAGGGTGGGTGAGTGACTGAGGGTGGGTGGTTGAGTGAGTGAGTGACTGAGGGTGGGTGAGTGACTGAGGGTGAGTGACTGAGAGTGGGCGGGTGGGTGGGTGAGTGAGTGACTGAGGGTGGGTGAGTGAGTGAATGTTGGGTTAGTGACTGACTGAGGGTGGGTGAGTGAGTGAGTGAGTGAGTGAGTGAGTGAGTGAGTGGGTGGGTGAGTGAGTGAGTGAGTGGGTGAGTTGAGTGGGTGGGTGAGTGAGTGACTGAGGGTGTGTGAGTGACTGAGGGTGGGTGAGTGAGTGAGTGAGTGAGTGAGTGAGCGAGTGGGTGAGTGTAGGTTTTTGAGTGAGTGAGTGAGTGAGTGAGTGAGTGAGTGAGTGAGTGAGTGAGTGAGTGAGTGAGTGAGTGAGTGAGTGAGTGAGTGAGTGAGTGAGTGAGTGAGTGAGTGAGTGAGTGAGTGAGTGAGATTTTGGGTGGGTGAGTGAATGAACGATCAAACGAACAGTGAAACCTACAGCACCATCACAGAACAAGTAGGAACAAATTCTTACAAATTCAGGTTACAACTTGCATTGATATAATATTGGTGTTATCTGATATACTCCACACACTGTTGTTGATCCAGCCTCTAGATAACATACCATGGGACCTACTGAGATACTGGCAACCTCCAGCATTGCAGCATCTGCAATGCCCTTAGCTGTCTCCCTTCCAAGAGCTCCACTACGGGACAACAACTCCTCGACTACCTATAGAGAGACCACAACACTGCTGATAATCTTTGAATATAATCATGAACTACACACACACAGTAAATGCTTTACTCAGATGGATTGAATTACACAAACATGAGTAATTTCTTACATGTCTGTATTCCTCCAGTGTTATTGTTCCATCATTGTCTGTGTCATGCATGTTGAATAGAACTACAGTATCAAGAAAGAGACAGTATTGTTTCACTAGTATTGTGAATTCATGGCTCAGTTCACTGGTACTTTATCTTCAAGTCTTTTAATATAATTCAAGTATTATTTCTGCATGTTCTTACAGCGCAGTTTGGCTCTCCTCATTTCTTCTCTCTGCTCCTCTGTAATATGATGGGTCGGTGCTCTGAAGTACGACATGACGGTCAGGAATTCCTCAAAAACAATTTCTTGCACAGATCCCACATCATCTTTCTGGAAATTCCTGAGTAGAACAAGCAAGTATAGTAACATGTTATTGCTCCATTTCAGCTTTGTTGAGCCCTGAATGTTAAACTTCACTATTAACCTTCAAGTTTGGGGTTGTCAGATGAATTTTTGACCGAGAGGACTTGGAAAGAATAGAAGACACTATTCTAACACAATTTTAAAGCTTGCAAATTGTGTTTGACTTTAAATATTTGTTTTCTAAATGAAATAAAGAATGTGTTCAATCTGACTATTTTAATTAGAGATATAAGTAACAATAAAAAATATCAAAAATCAAAACAAAACAAAATAATCTTAAGCCACAAAAGCCACCTTCCCAAATGATGTTAGCCTTATAGTGAAGAAACAACCACACAGTGCAAATATACTTCTCTTTACTATAAAGGTGTAGTTTCACATCCCTTATGAAAGAAGACATGCTGTTGATATTTGTGAATTTGAAACTTAAAAAATAAAAGACCTTTAAAAATATGATCTAGTATTCAAATGCAATATCACATTTGTGAAGCTGTAGGGAATAATATCAATTGCCTCACATAACTATTGTCACTACATACTACAAACATACACAGTATATAAACAATTACAAACCTTTTATCAAAGAAAGCCTCTATAATCTGGGACCGAATTGGGTTGCTTTCCAAATCTTGGATTGTTTTAAAGTCATCTCTCCTTTAAATGAGAACACAAAACAATTAAGCCTGACACATAAAAGGCCAGCATTATGGATTGCTGTATAGCCAAACTAAACCACCCAAGCAGACCTATTAATCAAGCACTAGTTCTGTCATGACAACTTTCAGTGTGTTTGGCATGGTTATGGATATGACCATCTCGATATGTTTGGCCTTGGCGGAATAGATCTGCTACACTGCTACTGCTGTACAATGTAGCATACATGAATTACCCATAGCAGATCTATACAGGTGGATCTGGGGAAGGTAAGGGTTTCTGAAAGCGCGCTGCAACTGCTACAGCAAATGGTAACCAAGTATTTGAAGGTTGAGCAGCGAGCTCATTAGGTACTGATACAGAAGGAACCAATCAGCTGTGCCCTACAGAAAATGATGTGTTTGCAAGCAATTTGAGATCAGCCTGTGCCATCTAGAGTTGCATGACAGAACTTTGCATTTTTTCTAATAGTAAGTACCAGCAAACTGGTTTGATTTGAGTCTTAAAAGTCATTCTATGTTGCAACACTCAAGCTGGAAACATTCTGCAGAATCATCTCCCAAACAAAACAACACTTGTAGATTACCGTAATGTTTCCTCGTTCTGACTGAGCTGCTTAAAACGATTGTGGAGGATTCCGATCTGCTCCAGTGAAACTGAGAGAGAATGAAAAGAATGGAGGTGCAGGTGCTCATCAAACAGATGACTCACTAACTGGCAATGCACTGTGTGAAGTGAAACACAACTACTAAAACTAAATCTAAAATGCCTCACAGTGACATTTGTAACTGAATTATGAATGATCACGAGTCATGAAGAAACCTTAAACAGAATCGGTCTTCCAAAAATACAAAATGCTGTCATTATTTACTAACCGTCATGTTGTTCCAAACCCTTATGACTTTATTTCTTCTGTAGAACACAGAAGGTGATGTTAGAGACTGACCAGTCATTGTTCACTTACATGGAACAAAATGAAAGTGGGTGAGGCTTGAGGCTGTCATTCTGCCAAACACCTGTCATATGGGTTTGGAACGACATGAATGTCTAAATGATGGGGGTGAATCATCACATTTGTAGGATACACACTGTAGGCTATTCTTTATTTTTGTTTCCTTTTGAGTCTGTAGGACAGAGGCATCAAACTAAGCATAAATAACCACTTGTGAAACCAGATGCACAATTTGCAATAGTGTTGTCTTGTCATCCTTTGTCTAATTACGAATGCAAATTACCACAAGTCCATATCAGGGTTTTTTATTTTAAAAAAGGGGGGGCTAAATATTACAATAAGTACGCAGTAGATTTATTCTAGTTGATTACACACTTCAGTGTGTAAGTTGTGAAAAGAAGACATCTCCGATTTGTCACTATACATTCTCACTTTACATTTCCTGAGTAAATGGTGCTGCGTTTGTCAAACATTACAATATAAGTATGGGATATGAATGACATTAAACCCTTCGTAATAGTTATACTCACAGCCTGTCTTCTGTGACAGGGTTCGATATTGATGGTTATCCGGCAAAGACTGAAAGCTCCCCATCACGATAGTGATTCTACACCAAGCGAGTATGCAAGTCTGTTCCTCGATCTTCCGGTGGTTTGGGTTTCACTCGTACAGCCGTGTTTGCCTTGCAGAACAAACGCATGCAAATTGCATTGTGCCTTGTGAGAATGAGAACTTGTCCCCAGGGTCCTAACGCCGCAAAAACACCCTCCGCAGGAACTGCTGTTCGAAGAATTCACGCCTACGGCTACCTACGATAATCCAGTTTGTAAACCTCACACCCAAACAGATATAAAAATGATCAAATGTGTCTAACAGTTACACAACGAAGACCGAATTGAACGAAGCCATCTTGGCCACATTCATTCATAATACATAACCGTGACAGCCGTACAGCTCTTTCTGGAAAACAGAAATGAAACACTGACATTTCTGAGAAGACCATAGAAAAGCAACCTTTGACAAATTTGCGAGATAATAGCAAAGGAAGGAGAGATCCATTTGTTTTGTCACGTCAAACATTCATTGTTGTCCTATTAGCGCAATATTAGCGCCTTGCCTTTCCTTGGAAAATAAACACAATTAAGCCCTTCACTCTGATGACATTATTTTTATTCAGCCGCCGGAAGTAATGGTTGCACAAACACATAAACAAGATAAGCTTGGCAAAGTCTTTTTATTTTTTTTTATTTTTTTTTTAAGGAGAAGCATTTCGAGGTAATTTCCTAATTTATTAACAGATTCTAAATGAAAGAAGTCTGCTTTTTAACCCTACTGTCTAAAATTGGTTTAAACGTCTTATCACTTCAGGTATAAAAGGAGTAGGGGGAGGCTGCAGACCTGGAGCCGGCAGATATACGCCCCTGGCAGTTTTACGCCCCTGTTGTTCCTGATGCGTCCAGTAGAGGGATATACTGCGAAATAACATCATTAAATAGACTTGACAATTTTGTGTTTTTTGTTCATTTAAATATAAACGTTATAGTGTAGATCTGCACGGATTAAATTATCTGTTTAACAAAAAAACAAGGGGGGTAAACGGACATCAAAAGAGATTGAATTAGGGTACCCATAAGAAAGTTTACCATGATAAACTATAGTACATACCATGGTATACCATAGTAGTACCATGGTATACCATAGTAGTACCATGGAACCTTCATGGTACATACCATTAGTACCTCAGATATTACCATGGTACCATGGTACATAGTATGGTACTGTATATGTTACTATAGTACATAGTATGGTACCTCAGATTTACCATGGTACATACCCTAGTACCTCAGATATTACCATGGTGCATTCTGCAGTACCTCAGATATTACCATGGTACCATGGTACATTGTATGGTACTGTAGCTGTTACTATGGTACATAGTGGGTACCTCAGATTTACCATGGTACATACCCTACCTAAATAGCGCATTTGTGTTGGCAACCTTCGCACTCGCGCTTCCTCTCTTGTTGCCTAGGATACAGACGCAGTGGGAATTGTAAACAAACAATCTTTTTGGAAATATGTACGCTCTTTATGAATTTAGTAACCGTACAGTTGAAGTTGGCCGGTTGAACCTTATTGAGGGTGATTATGAACCTGATGTGGACAAAGAATATGTGGTATGGTGGTCTAAAAATGGAAAAACGACTGCTTGGACTGCCAAGATATTGGCAACTGATGATGGTAAATAACTTATAGTTATAGTTTCACTCAGCATAACGTTAGATATTATCAGGCAAATCTAACTTTAGATTCGATATATAGTTAAATAGAGATTAATAAAATATAATTATAGCGGATAAAATATAATTAAAGTTAATATTATATAATATGTAAGGGATAATGTAGCGAGGCGGTTGCTAGCGAACCCGGGCTTCCATAATATAGCAGCTATTATAAATTCGGCCAAAGCGGATCCTGAATGGGTTGTATTCGCTATAACAACCGCCTCCATCTACATTATCCAGCTTATTTCATGGTTACCTACCAAATAAATCAATAATTTTACACAAAATATTGATTTAAAAAGGAGTTTATTGATTTAAAAACGATTGTATTGCTTCCGCTAAAGAACACAGTGTCCATGGCAACGGTGTGTTTTAGCAGCGGTCTCAAGAAATAACACGTGTTATTATTACGTTTACATCACATTCTACATTTGAATTCAAGCCATGTAATAAATTATAAGTTACAAACTTGTCTGTTCTCCTTTCCTTTACTTATTTTCTCTCTTTAGAAGTTAAATCTGTCTTCCCCGAAAAGAATGATGCTGAAATAAAGGGATTCATCCGCCAGAAGTTGTCTAATGCGGCCAAGATAGTGAAAAGAAAATCCTGCTAAATCTACGGGGGGAAAAATAATAAAATGTAAAAAAAAATTACAGTTACTATGTGTTTTTATTTGCCTGAGCTAAATATTTTATTTCATGTACCATTGTAAATTTGACAGTTGTAGGTATAGTACAAATACCATGGTACACATATATACCATGGTACATGTCCCATTGTACTATTAAAAATAGCTATTATGTACCATGGTACTATCAATATACCATGGTGCATGTCCCATTGTACTATTACAAATACTATTATATATACCATGGTACATGTACCATGGTACTATAAATATACCATGGTACATGTAATATGGTACTATAAATATATCATGGTACATGTACCATGGTACTTTAAATATACCATGGTACTGTCAAAAATACCATGGTACTAGTACCATGGTATTTGTACCATGGTACAAATACCATGGTAAAATTTCTTATGGGTACACAAATCAATGCAATATTACATTTTGTCAATCTTAAAACATGTAAGGTTCTTTACAACAGACTCAATGATATTATTTGTTTTATAAACCTTTGAGTTTAAAGGTTCTGACATTTTCTTAAAGGAAGAAAAAAATGACCTTTATATCAGAGGAGAATTTTCTAGAATCAGGATTACTTTGAATGGTTCTGTCTTTATGAAGATGAAACTTGCCCAGAAGACAAAGTAATAATACCGTATAATCAAGTTTAACATCGTTAGAATTAAAATCTGACAAAAATAGATTCTGTCATTTGTATGTTAAATAATCTGCTAAAGTTATTGTTTTTTTAGCAATGATGCAACATTTATTATTTATAAACGATTAGCTCGATAGAGCTAGGGTAGGTAGATATCAATTAATTTATATATCAATGGATGGGTCTATAATGTATTTTGACAGGTTTCTGTTCTATCTGGCTTAAACTTAGCTAACCACGTGTAGGTTTAGCTTCCCCTATCTTCTCTACTCAATTTAAAATTAATTTTAATTTTCTTTTGTTGCCTGTCTTTAGCTTGGCCTCTTCTGGTAAGACTCTGTTTACTCCTTGCATTAAAACATACTCCACATGGTTTATAGAGCATTATTACAGTAGATAATGGAAATATGTGCATTTTTTTACAGTCTATGGTGTGAACACACAAAAGACACATTTATAATAATTATGTAAATCTCTCTCTCTCTCTCTCTCTCTAAGTAAAGAGTTAAACTGCACACTCACTCAAATACGTTAAAACACATTAAAAACTTTCCCATATGGTTTGAATGTAGATTCTGGTTTGAGTTGTTTCTTATAAATGAGATGATCTAATTATCTCATTTATATCTTAATATACATTTTTTCTTAAAATAGCATACTGATCTGGACTCAAATGTAGGGTATGTGCACTTAATGTGGGTTTTATCATACTCTGTCTTTACCAAGTTCTCTTTAACTTGGATCTCATAAAGGTGTGTTTGCTTTAGCACACACACACACACACACACACAGGGACAAGGTCAAACTCACCATGGATGTCCTTTTTAACTTTTTTAATGTTTCATTTTTTAATGTTTCATCAGTGAGCAGGATCAGTTAAAGAAAAAAAAAAACAGTTAAAGAAGAGTGGCAAACCATAGGGGAGTCATCATAATTCATAAATAGTGTTAATAAATATTTTTTTGTGAACAACAATATTGTCTATATCTTCTAAATGGCCCATGGAATTTTAGAAAAGGGATAAATTGTGTTTGTCTTCATAAAATGCTGTGTAGGACACTGTTTTGTAGCTGTATGATGACCAATAGTACAGCAGATATTTCATCGAGGATCCATATTATTACACGGTACTGCATGTCTAATGGGCTAAATATAGTTAATATCTAAATGTGACTTTATATAAATTCACAAAAACATATTTCACTCAGTCTCCTGTATATAAAAACCTACGGTGAATTGGCCTATAACTGCAGTAGGTCATAGCATCACCTGTCATAACACATAGTTGATCCAATATGTGTATTTTTAATTTTTCAATTCACAAAAACAAATAGTCTTCTGTAGGTTGAGTGAAGAGAGTGAAGCCCAACTGAATATCTACAGAAAAATTAATCCGTGGAGATCTACACTGTAACGTTTATATTTAAATTAACAAAAAACACAAAATTGTCAAGTCTATGGACGGGTTATTAATGTGTAAGCGTCGATTTAATGATGTTATTTCGCAGTATATCCCTCTACTGGACGCATCAGGAACAACAGGGTCCTAAAACTGCCAGGGGCGTATATCTGCCGGCTCCAGGTCTGCAGCCTCCCCATATAGTATAAAAGCAGTAGGCCTACAAAGGTGCATTGATAAATCGATTTATATTTGTAATGTATTAATCCACCACACGATGGCAGTAAAGATTAATCGGCAATCAGCCCATTGATGCGCGGGTCGGCCTTTTTTCCAACCCGCGGGTCCCGCTTTTATGAAATTATTTGGCCCGCCCCAGCCCGCACCGCACCACTGTATCTATTTTTACAACCCGCCCCGCACCCGCGACCGTTAAATAGACATAGATTGTAATGTAAATGAAAACAGCCTTTATTTCAGCCTGAAAGTGCTTGGAAACATCGCCCTGTAAACTGGCAACAAGAGACGATTATGAATATGAATCATAAATCAGGTCATATTAATAAGATACTAATAAACATGTTCAACATTTACAAAGCAGCGTTTGAATTCATCTAATAGGCTAAACCATTTTTTATTTCTTAGACCCCCCACAAATATGTCTTGACATGCTGGAAGTGCCCGTTTTGTGGCGCTATAACTTACTGTTTGTATATTTTTTACACGAGTTGCACTTCAGGTAGCCGATCTAGCTACTGTTGTCTCCTCTCCTGCTGCAACTATTTCTGAGAA